TAAGGCAATCGGCCGCTGACTCGCAGGTCGCGGGATCAAATCCCGGTTTCGGTAGCCGCATTTTCGACGGAGGCGAAAATGCTGTATGTGGTCCGTGTGCTCAGATTTCGGTGCACGTTAAAGAACCCCGGGTGGTCAAAATTTCCGGAGCCCTCCAGCTACGGCGTCTCTCATAATCATATGGTGGTTTCGGAACGTTAAACCCCAACAATTATTAACTATTATTAACACGGTCCTGCGCTTGTTGTAGCCACGCTGTACCCGCAGACCTAGTCTCATCTGTCTCCCGAACTATTGGCACCCTCCTCGCGTGCTTGCCTTGTCTTGAAATCGTGTCGCTTGCTTACGTTTTACGCTTGTGAAAATTTATCCGACCCGCAACCTGCGCTAAAAAAAAAAGATTACACAACTTGCTAAACTCAAGTTAACAACAGTGCAAGCAAGCTGCTCAAAGGCGACAATGCGAAATAGAGCACAAATATGGAAGGGGACATAGACGGATCTTTCACACATTCTTTACATGTGACCCCGTTACGCAAACAAGGCGCAGGCGGCCAAGAGCAGCATAGTCAGAAATTGCACAAAGCTATAGTTCTAGGCGGTTTCAAAACGCGACTGCAAGTCGAGGGAACTATACAAACGCCCCCTTCCCGTCAGATAAGATAAAGGGGGCGCTTAGTGAGATAAGATTAGCGATTGTGTACGCGAGGAGACCCTTACATACTCCGTGAAGTGGCGTTCATTCCGCACAGCACCCGCATAGAGTTTACATGGTCGAACTTGACGCACCGCCGAAGTCGACGACCATGGCCTACGCGGGCGTTCGTACGATCGCAGCCCTTTTCGTGGTCGCGAGCATTTGGTCCTCCGCGTTAGCTGCTCCGAACGAGAATAAGCCAGTTGATTACACTGGGTAAGTCGCCGAAAGTTGTTTTAGCTCCTTCCGTACAAGTGCCTTATCGCTGATGTTTAGTATATAGCACGGGGGAGGGCTTGTCAAAAAGTACGTTATCTGCCACAGGTGTCGTTCATGTCAAGTTCGATGTCAAGTTTGTGTCATCCCAGCCTGAAACAAAATTTATTGCAATTTAAACAGTCAACCCTCAATATGCTGATCTGTTCCGCTTTCAGAATAGTGCTAATCGAGAAAATTGGCGTTGATGTGTATTACGGAGTCTCTATCAGTTGCTTTTGATGTCTTTAAAATCGTCACGCACAATTCTTTTTATTGGAAGTCTTACCACTCGTACAAGCAAATACTGCATTACCTGTTGATAGCCACTCAGCAGAGTGACGAGGCATTGCAATGCAGATAAGGAATCTTCAACAAGCCACTGGCAGATGCCTGAGTGCCATTGCTTCAGTGCGGCCGAAAATCGTTTTCTATGATGCAGTGTGGATGAGCAGTTGCATTGGTACTTGAGAGGCTCCAAACAACTATGGAGGCTTAAAACATCAATGTTCTTTAGGAGAGTGTGTTGTGGAATCCAACGTATCAAGAGGTGTCCTTGCTTTCTTCGAGAAAGTAACATGGTCGGACAGTATGGTCATTACGACCCTGAAGAAGAGAAGACCTCGGTCTTTGTGGAACGTTGGTTCTAGCTATACACCCCGTTCAAGAGGGAGCAAATAAATTCTATGGAACGAGGCTATTCGGGCCCGTACGACCTCCCCGTAAGTTCATGCGAGTCCATGGTGTGCCCAGTAACGATCTTCTGCTTGGCCGAGTCAAATTAAAATTTGGTGCTTACAAAAGTGCGGGTGGCTATCAGTAAACTCAGCGTACACTTTGCGTTCGGCCTTCTGAAAAACAGTTATGGCCAGCGCTTACAGAGCTGTTTGTGTAAACTTTCTACGAACCTGCTAGATCCAAATTTCACGAACGGAACGCAATCTGTTTTGAGGTTCTCCGAACGCTCCGGCACGACAGATCTTCTAAACTTACGTAACCTCATCTAGCTCAATCCGAGATTAAACTTACCACTTCCCCAGCTTAAGTTTTTGATAAGCACAAAAAGCGCACAAGTTCAGGGGAATATGTAACCTTAAGTGTGGCTATACTCTTAAACTTGGTGCGTCACGGGAGCAATGTCTTGCCTTCTTCGAAGCCTTGAAGAAAAAAGTTAATTCCAGCGACTCCCGGCGTTCAAAAATTTTAATCTTTTTATGAGTGGCAGGTGTGTTAGCAACAAAAGAATGTCTTCCTGTGCACTGGAAAGAAAAACGGGGGTTGTTGTTGTTGTTGTTGTTGTTGTTGTTGTTGTTGTTGTTGTTGTTGTTGTTGTTGTTGTTGTTGTTGTTGTTGTTGTTGTTGTTGTTGTTGTTGTTGTTGTTGTTGTTGTTGTTGTTGTTGTTGTTGTTGTTGTTGTTGTTGTTGTTGTTGTTGTTGTTGTTGTTGTTGTTGTTGTTGTTGTTGAGAAGCGATCTAATGTCAGTGATACTGCAGTTGAAATCTGATTTCACGAAGTGATGGGGATGCTCGAGTCATTTCGTGTAATCGGAAAGCTCGTAAACTTGAGGAAAGGATTTCTCAGTACTCCAAAATTTTCAATCTTAACGGATAGTGACAGCGAGCAATGGAAAGAAAAATTGTAGGTAGAACCTTAAGAGACAAGAAGAGAGCAGAGTGGATTAGGGGACAAACGGGGGTCAAGGATATCATAGCTGAAAACAAGAAGAAGAAATGGACATGGGCCGGGCATGTAGCGCGTAGACAGGATCACCGCTGGTCATTAAGGGTAACTGACTGGATTCCCAGAGAAGGGAAGCGGGTTAGGGGGAGACAGAAGGTTAGGTGGGCAGATGAGATGAAGAAATTTCGGGTATAAATTGGCAGCAGCAAGCACAGGACCGGGTTACCTGGCGGAACATGGGAGAGGCCTTTGTCCTGCAGTGGACGTAGTCAGGCTGATGATGATGCTGATGATGATGACACCCCGAAAGCTAACGATGTACCTTGTTTTCCGCTGACTCGTGCTTCGAACGAGTGAAAAGTGCATGGCGGCGGCCCGTACTTTTCCCTTGTCTCCATGATGCCATGTTCTGGTGATCGAAGCCAGGTAGATGTTAAGTGAGGCTATGACGAGTTGCCGATACACAAAAGCGGAGAGAACGAAGGCAGAGGCTGTGAGAGTATAGAGTTATAAAGATGCGACGAGGTAACCTATCCTCCGCTTAAACCAACTAAATGTGAAACGTAACCGCAATAGCGTTTCCTTGCTAACGTGTAAAGCTACAACAAACCACCGTCACCACTGACGTCATATGGTACGGTAGAGCACTAACGACTGCCGAGACCATTGCTTCGAGCATATGGGCGGCGCGCAGCTTACCCAGATTAAAACTAGGCTCGCGACTAGTACAACTAGATGTTCTAACTTGATTGGGGTGGGGCGGAAACTCAAAAAAACATGTCTTCGTGAAAATTTGAAAGACATCGCCATTTTTTTCACACGCGAATTCAAGAAAAACCTTTGGTAAACTTGCTTCGGTGCCAACTTAGATTCGTTAATTAGGGTTGATAACAACATTCAACAAATGGGGATCTGTCTTTTCCTCGTTAGATCAGGAACTTCGTAAAACCGGTTTTTCGTTAGGTTAAGCTTTAACCGCAGTTTCAGCGCATCCATCAGCAAAGACGGGCCCAAAAAGCTTTTGTAGGAAGCAAAGGCGCTTTGCATATCTGTAGAAATTCAATTATGCAAATTATACCTACTAGAAAAAATTGAAAATTTGGAAACAGTTTGGTTCCGTGAGCGTTCAATGAATGAAAAAAACAAACAATTTAGCCGGTTGGTACATTGCGGGAACGCAGAAGAGGGGCGAAAAAAAGCACAAAGAAAAATTAAGAATTATATTGCTTCTGTTTTTTTGCACTTTTTTTTTACAGCTCTGTGAACTGAGTGTGATGTCTTTCAAGAAAGTCTTCGAATGCAGCACTTTGTCCCCTTATCATTTTTGCATATCGGGAAGTCCTACAAAGTCTGAACAGGCTGTAGACCAATAACTGCCTTTTAGAGCTATAAATCTATAGTCTATACAAAGTCATATAGAGTCTTAACAGGTTAGACCTATGGACAACTGTCTTCAAAAGCTATAATTTTATTAGTGTATACAAAGTACTATAGGGTCTGAACAAGCTAGACCTATATGGACAATTGTCTTCAAAAGCTGCAATTTTATTAGTCTATACAAAGCACTATAGAGTCTGAACAGGCTAGACCTACGGACAACTGCCTTCAAAAGCTGTAATTTTATTAGTCTATACAAAGCACTGTAGAGTCCAAACTTCTGGCTATGTATAGTTCCAGCTATTTAGGTCCAATATTTCCATATCGTAGAGCTGTCATTCTACACACGTGCTTCCTGTATAAGTTTTGTTGACGTCGGGGCAACGCACCTAGCTGTGTTCTACAGATGGTTCGGAGAAAATTTTGCGAGACAGGCAGAAAGTGGGCACCTGAGTTTGCAGTTTGCAGTGCAGATTTTCATAGACCAGCACGACAAAAATTGTTGCGAGTCGATCGCCAGACTTCGAGCTTGGCGTCTGTGTCGTGTTCAACTGCTCAGAGAGGTTGAACAAAAAAAAAACAAGAGGGAAATGTAATTATTCGAACGAACAAATTGTACCAGGAGGTAGTGTGACAGACTGTTCCTAATAGAAATAATAATTCAGAAATGTTGGTTGCTCAAGCAAGGCCTGAGCAGATAAGTGATAACTTGCACGCTTAGGTGAGCACAAGGTGCTCCATTTAAATGTCAGCATTTAGTGCAAGATGATTAAGAGGAAGGGCAGCGTACGTTCAATCATTAGAGCATTGCATAATCCTTGAGCAAGATACAACGTGATCTGTTCAAGGAACACCTTGCATCTGTGCACACTTAGTGCTGATAAGAGACAATGCGCTCGATATCATTCCCCCGCTAAAAAAATTAATAGACAAGAGGTCAGGAAGTACAGTATCATGGCATTGATTGCAGGCACCGGCTCGTATCAGTGACTCCGGTTACGAGTGCACAAGTTGAGCTGTTGTCGACCTTGGCGGACAAGCTGCAGGTAAGCGTAACGACAATGGCTTACGGTCACGCCTCCTTATCTCCGAGTTTATCTTACAACGACATCGTAATGGCACGCTTCGTCGGGAAGTTCACGCCCATCGAGTGAATGGTGATATCTTCCACGCTGTCATCGAATTTCCGATTAAACACCGTGTGTAGATAATGGTGCATCGCCCAACGCCACGACGAGGAATCAGGATACGAGTTATTTTCCTCCTTTAGTGATTTCATACGCAGCTGTATAAGTAGACTGCACTCTGGAAGGCATTATCGATTGATCTGTGAAATTTAACGTCCCAAAAAGCACCACATGATTATGTGAGACACCGTGGTGGAGGGCTCCGGGAATTTCGACCATCTGGGTTTTTTTAACATGCACCCAAATCTGAGCACAGGGGCCTACAGCGTTTCCGCCTCCATCGGAAATGCAGCCGCCGCAGCCGAGATTCGAACCCGCGACCCGCGGGTTAGCAGCCCAGTATCTTAGCCACTAGACCACTGTGCCGGGGCCTGGAAGGCGTTACCTTGGCTGAGTTAGTACGCTGCGATATGGCAATTATACAACGAAGTGAGAAAAGCGAAGGCGTACAGTGCACAGGCAAGATAAGTGAGCTGGCTGCACATCAGCGCCCATAGGTTTTGTCACAGTTATTATTATTGTTGTAGTTTTGTTATTATTGTTGTTATTGTAATTGCTATTTTTGTTATTGTAATTCTTGTTGTTGTCGTGTTCAGAGACGCACTTTGAGCGCTACTTATAATTTCTAGGAAAAAGAAGTTTAATGAACTGTTTATAGTTATAATTGCTCCGTATCATGACATGAGTGGAACGTATATCGCAGTCGCGAAATATTCAATAGCATAAAAACTATTACTTTTTATATATAAAGAATTTGGGAAAGTAAACTACGTTACAGCTGGCTATACCAACATCATGCACGGATTCTATCCCCAATATGACCACACTGTATGTACATACTACACTATGCCCATAGACTTTGCTGATGCTTTACCCGCCACATAATGTACGCATACATAATGTACGTATGGTGCTTCTGAATACTCTATCATTTTCTTATCGTTTTATTCATATTTTTTTCTCTTTCTTTGTTATTCAATATGTTCATCATAATAATGAAATAGCCAGGCCTAACGTAGCTAACACATGCAAGTGTGAATAAAAAATACGCTTAAATGAAGAGAACCGGCTGTACTTGCCGTGTTGTTAAAACTGCGGTCTTCATTTTTCTTAAAAATTAGCTATGGTTATTAGAACTTTTATAAAAATCAGGAACCTTAACTTTTTTAGTGTAGAAGACTTCTTCTTACGCTAGAAAAGAATGCTAAAGTGAAAAACTTTTTTTTCTTTTTTTTTTGCGCAAACCCGCGGCGGTCATTAAGGGGTTGGAGTCGACCTTACATTCAGCGGCCCGACTTGCCGCCATACGACGCGCTTATCACGAGCAATTTCCCAATCACTATACACCTAAAAGAGGTGAACGTCCTCTTTAAATTATTTAGTACTGATCACCAGAATTTCTTACCTCCCCATGACGTCACACACCACATCGACACGTGTCCCCATTGATTGATTCATACGTGAGGTTTAACGTCTCAAAACCACCATATGATTATGAGAGACGCCGTAGTGGAGGGCTCCGGAGATTTCGACCACCTGGGGTTCTTAAACGCGCACCCAAATCTGAGCACACGGGCCTACAACATTTCCGCCTCCATCGGAAATGCAGCCGCCACAGCCGGGATTCGGACCCGCGACCTGCGGGTCAGCAGCCGAGTAACACGTGTCCCCATGTGCACATCCCACTGTCGCTCTGTCGAAAGCGGACCAGTCACTGAGGCAACGCGAAACCAAAAGACGTGAAGAAAGCTTGTAATGCCCCCGATCCCCGAGGCAATGCAAGACCCTGTTAGGTGCAGAAAGCTTTCGAATGTGGGTGGAGGAAAACCAATACTTCGGCTGGACTATGCTCAGTAATGTTAATGGGTTAAAAACAATATCAGCAACGCAGGCCCCAGTGTTGTCGTGAATAGCCACGCCTACATTTCTTAGCGACACCCTCTGGATATTTTTTTTTTCCTCGCAGCTCGACGTATGGCAAGAGTCCACCCGCTGTCAACGTGTCGGCGCTTCTGAGGCTGCGGCCCGATGTTGTGGAGGAATTCGAGGCCGAAGTCACGCGAGCGGGGCTCAACCTGACGACACGATGCACGAACCTGCAGGAGTAAGTCAAAGTTAGTTGGTCGGTTGACCCTATCAAAGTGGCGCAACCCATCACGGGGGCTCGGCCACGAGAAGGGTGGGGTGCCTTCTTATGTAAATGAAATCGCTTATATACACAAATTGTTCCGCAGTCGATAGTTTTAGAAATAACTTAGTAGCTTAAGCCGCGAAACAAAAAACAAAAAAGGAAAAACATACTAATATTCTCGAAGAGTAAGCTTCATTTAGATAATCATAGAATTCCATTTTGGACAAATTTCTCACAGACGATGCTGCTTGTAGAACAGTAATTTAAACTGTGATTGAACACTAGTATCTTGTGTGAATGAAAGCGTGAGCAGGCGTCATACTACAAGTGCATTGAAACCGTATTTAATACGCCTAAGCAAACGAATTGGAAGTGGCTCATAAACTTACGTATTAGCTACTCGGTGGTTATGATATGTATTAGCTCAATCTTCCCCTTTCTGGCACTAATTCTAACGACTTCATCCAGTTTAGCAAACGTATTATTTTCAAGTCTGGCGGTGAAAGTTTACGTTCGCAAATGATTCATAATTTCTTGTTGCGTTACATTTAACATGCAGGCAGAAACAAATTTTTCGGAAGTGACGTACAATGATCTGTCGAAAGTTTGTGCTTACGACGCCATATGTCATATTCTCACATTACTTTTGTTCTTGTTTTTTCTAGTCTTTTCGCATGTTTCTGCCTTCAGCTTATTCATCCCATATGATTGTTAACCTCGTTTTGACGCTTCGCTAGATGTGAATGAACCAGTGCGATGTTGCGCAACACCTGTCCTGTAGTCCCTGTATTGTCCTCGTCTCGTCATCCGCATGCAGAGTAACAAGAACTCATAAGCCACATCCAACTAGCCCAATTCATCGCTTTGGAAATGGGAGGAGGAGGGATAAACAACAAGAGGAAAGGCAACGAGGTTAACCAGGCTTTGGAAATGAGTTATGCGGAATCCCTCAAGGTGGCGGAAGGGTCGAGACAGAGACAATTAACAACCTCCCGTTTGTAGCACGAAGCCATAGCTAAATTCATACACATAGTGCTCATAAACGAAAACTTCTAGTCAAAGGTGTACTCTCAACGTGCTTCGACTTGTTGAATAATCTGATCTGTACCCCAATAAAACTTGTTGTTGGGCTATTTGGTTATTCGTCATATTGTAAGAATTTGGCGCAGCCTTGACTCTCGCAAACACTCAGGCAAACACTCAGTGCGTGTCGTGTGTGTTACTCGGGTGGATCTGCGAGAGCTTGTGTTAGTGTTTGAGGGAGTCAAGGTGGCGCTAAATTCTTACCATATGAAATCTGATCTCGCAATGTGAATTGATATAGCATCCTGGTTAACTCAGACCATAAATTGACCAACCCGACAAGGCATTGCTTTCGGGTTCGATCCATGGAGCATACAGTTTTTCTTCCACTTTCAAGTTATATTTTCTAGAGGTCCGTGAGAATTTGCTCGTGGCTTCGTATAACAAGCGCGTCATTGCCTATATACTGTCTCTTTTAAAGCTCTAGTTTCAATTAGTTTCAACAAACTTCGCCTGTGTTATTTTCACTCTCCTCGCCCGTCTTGTGGTGAGATGAATGATTCCCGCACCAATCTTACAATGCGATGCGTCACCCAAGTGTAGTTTCCGACCATTTTTATGACTTCTGTTCTATCAAGAGAATTCGCAAGCTCGTAAAAGGAACGTGTCCAATAGTTTGTGAGTCGACTGCAATGAACAAAATAGCTTCGTGTGGTGGTGCTCCAAGATACAGCAGATATTGCAATTGGAATATACAGCAGCAGTTGGAAGATACAGATATTGCAGTTGGATTGCAATATACTTTGGTTGTCAGTTCAGCGTTCTGTTCTCGTCTCTTCTATCCCCTCCTGTCGTTTGTGCTGTTCAGCGCTTTCTTCGTCTACCACACAGCAAGCCTTTCGGATACCTCATAAGAATGAAAACTGTTCTTTTTAAACTTCTCATCACTTCAGGGCGATCGACGACGAACGACGCTCCATGCGCTTTGCGACGTACTCGACCACTCCCCTGCGATTTCAAAGATACCTGAAGTATGCCGAGGTGAGTCACAGCTTTGTCACAATTCGTCACGTTGCTGCGAGTGTTTACTCAGTCACGTCGCCACGTGAAGGTTTTCTACCTTTTGGCGGGAGTTTTCAAAATGTTCATACTAAGCACTTGGTATCTACACTCTTTTAAGCACGATTATGTTCGTACTTATTGAACACACATGCCGCCTACTAACGTCATTAATGAAACTAGCTGTTAAACACGAAGGCTAAGTGCTGCAATTAAACTCTTTAGGTGCGAATGCTGACATGGGTAGTAAATCGGTTTATGAAGGTTATTTCTTTTAGTTATTATGATTTAAGAAGGAAACATCTTTAGTGGACTTGATTTCAATGACAAGTAAACATTCCCTTTATTTGTCTACATCTGCAGTTCGCAAACGCCCTGAAGCAGTACGCGAAGAAGTACGACCACGTGAGCTATCTATCCATCGGAAGATCGTATGAAGGGAGGAATATCATGGCTGCCCACGTAAGTGACCCCAAATGCTAACCTTAGTGTCCGTCATAGAAGTTGTAAGACCGCCATATTAATTCTCTCAATGCGCGCTGATTGTGTGGTTGTGGAAAGGCGTGCCACTGGCGGCTTCGTTGATTGGACAGAAGAAATTCTACGTCAGGTAGAGCGACAACGTCATCGAAAGTCATCGTCTCTCCCAATAAGGATGCGGCGCCAGGATTGAATGCCATTAGAACAAGTTCTCGATAATGAATGAGTTGCACGAGACAGGTCGAGAGTCAGAACATCATGGCATACAGTGCGTAGCCATCTTGTTAATGCTAGACATGAAGCCAGCCTAAAGCGGCAAGCTGTAGCCAATGAAGCCTTTCGTATTTTACACACAAAACATTCGTGTACACTCATTCACAAATTAAACGTGAACAGAAAATAATATTTTAGATTAACATCCGCAATCGACAGCCTTCAAGCCCCAGTCTAACATGGATTGTTATGCGGTTACCAAAATTTATTTTTGTCTGATGTAATTGTACCAGCTGAAGTCATACTGACATAAGGCGCACTAGAAAACATAGGGGAAAAAACACCGCATATCCACGGAGTGAATGATGATGAGTGGGGCGAAGCGTCCGTCAGCCCGTCCATGCTTCAGTCCATCCGCGCAGCCATCCGTACGTCCATCCATGCGCCCGTCCGTCTGTGCGTGCGTACATCTGTCCGTACGTCCGCGCGTCTGCCCATCCGTCTTCTAGTCTGTCTGTCTATGCGTCCATCTGTTCATACGTCCACGCGTCTGTCCATATGTCCGTCCGTCTTCTAGTCTGTCTGCCCATCCGTCCGTCCGTGCGCCCATCTATTGAAGACTCCAAGTACCGCCATCTCGCATCTCCTGTGGCACATACCCGCTCCGCGGGTCCGTCTGCTAGTCTGTCTGTCCGTCCGTATATGCGTCCGTCCGTGCGTCCGTCCGTGCGTCCACCTAGTGAGCACTGCGAGTACCACCATCACTCATCTCGCATTCCGGTGGCTACGTGCGTCAACGACGGAGGATGGACAGACCCAGGCCCTAAGGAGCTTCGCCGCTAAAAAAAGAGGTGTTTTTGTTAAGCTTAACTCATTCCTAATTCAACTGTCTACGTGATTGCAACCTACATGCATTTCTGTGTGCTAGCCCGCACAACATGACCAAAGAGAAAAGGCATTGTGTTCAGGTCGTTAGCTTCAAAACCAACCAGGGTAGACTAGTTGTTATGGTTCTCAAATGTGGATCCGCAGGTCACATCTTGACGTCATTTTGCGTACATCAAAAAGCCCGCCAAGACGTACACGAAATGTGCCACCAGGGCCGCTTATGAATTTCAGCTATCCTGCGGCAAGACTATACGTCGGCCAGACGGGAAAGTGCGTGAATATGCGTGAGCGGGAACACGAGATTTCGCTAAATGGGGCGAATTTGCCGATACCCTGCAATTTTCACAAGCGTAAGCCGTGCCTTAATAAGATTTAGGTTATTGGAAGAAGTACTCTGTACGGTCAGGGTTTGACGCACGTTGAATTCGGGGCGGCCAGGCTGAGCATGGCGGTTCCTACGTGGGACTAGCCGGGTGGCACGGGGTCTCCCTAGCGTCGTCTCTGGACTAAAATAAGGTTCCCGTCATCACCATCGTCATCATCAACGTGATCGGCAGAAGCAGGGATACCAGGACCCGAGAAGTGTTGGAGGCATTCCGCATAAAAGCGCGAGATGTTCCTCATGTACCAGGGACACGACAGTGTCTCTCTCGCAGGCAGAGAGCAAGTTATCAGATCACAGGTTGCGATTAGCGTGGTTCGCACTCGATGTGTGCCTGGATTGCTGCACACGTCTTTGTCTCTAAATTGATCGATGATTGATATGTGGGGTTTAACGTGCCAAACCCACCATATGATTATCAGAGGCGCCGTAGTGGCTGCATTTCCGCCTCCATCGGAAATTCAGCCGCCGCAGCCGGGCTTTGCCTCTAAATTTCGATGCAGGATATGATGAATAAACAATCGAAAGTTCGCCCTTCCCTTGAACCCGTTTCGTCGTTACTCAATCGCGCAAAAGAGTCATATCTTTGTGGCTTGTACACGAACCGACTATTTCAGCTAAGACTATACTTCTAGACCACTCGTACATGCGTTGCTTCGCGGTGCCGCGTTAGTAAGCCAAGCGCTCACGGGAACCTGTGGTCAGGCCTTTAGCCTTGCGCCGCTATAGTGCAAGCTATACAGCCGGCTTTATTTTCTTCAAGACTCCGCCAGTACCAAACCAAGCAGAACAATAATGAGAAATATTAAGGCGGCGAATACGAAGAGATTGCTTGTATATATCACAAGGCAAATGTAGCTCGCACTTTACAAAGAATGACACTGGGAACACGAGTCCTCGGCGCTAACAAAGTGAAGTTTAATTGTTCCTAACACTCCACGTTACGTTTGACTGCACGGACAAGACAGCTTCCGTTTTTGGGCGCCTGCGTCTCGTGTCCCCTATGTCAGCCCTGTGGATGATGATGATGATGATGATGATGATGATGATGATGATGATGACGATGACGACGACGGCGATGATGATATGTGGGGTTTGAAGTCCCAAAACCACCATATGATTATGGGAGACGCCGTAGTGGAGGGATCCGGAAATTTCGACCACCTGGGGTTCTCTAACTTACACCCGAATCTAAGCACAGGGGCCTACAGCATTTTCGCCTCCATCGAAAATGTAGCCGTCCAAGCGGGGATTCGATCCCGCGACCTGCGGGTCAGCAGCCGAGTGCCTTAGCCACTAGACCGCCAAAGCAGGGCGATCCCTGTCGAAGTGTGCGCCGTATTTACCTGGTGATTGTGAACAACCAGCTAGCTCGAGATGTGTTATTCGTCGCTTACCTAGAAGTACGCGGTCGTCAGGTTTTGCACTGCTGAGAAATTCGCACTTACTGTAATTGGACGTTTCGGTGGCAATAATCACCTATTATGCTGGGTCCGGCCACTGTATCAATTCTTACAAAAAATAAAATATTTTTTTTAATCTTTACTGTAGATCAAGATCAAGGAAGATTTGCCCATCGTATTTCTGGAGTGCGGAATTCACGCCAGAGAGTGGATATCCCCTTCTGCATGCCTGTACATCATCGATCAGGTAAGTGCGAGCCCATGTCAGACGTGTTGCTTCGACTTTTTTTTTGTTTTGCTTTGTTTCGATGTTCTACTACAACACAAGCAATTTCCCACAATCGATCAGTCAATTAGTCAACGAGTCAGTCGCTCAGCCAACGTAAAGAAGCCCCTATATCGGTACGCACAAAGAGAAATCTTGAGAAACCGAAGGAAAAACATTAACGTCAGCGTTTTAGAAAATGCAGAATCAGGGATCAACTTTGAGTGCACTTTTATAAGCTTCGCCACATTGACAGCAGATCGAAGCTGTTGCTGCGACCACTGCGTACAAAGCAACATTCCGCAGTCGCAATAAATTTTTAAGATGCTTCTGATGCATTTCACACAATGTTTTCGTTTAGAATCATACGTGATGTACGAGAGATTTACAGGGCAAAAGTCATTAGAAAATAAAGAAGTCTACAGAGCTGCTGGTAAAATTAAGTAAAAGTCCCATGATCGGCCTTTGTCGGAACAAAGGATTCTGGGTCATTGGCCGAGCCCATCCTCAGCCCAGAAAGCTTTGAAAGCTTTGCTGCGCTTTTTGCGGACAACTGGCCTCAGAGACAGACTTTAGTGTCTCATACTCTTTGACGTTGCCTTTACTCTGTCGCAATTTTTTTTGTAATTTCTCTCTCTCTTCACAACATTTCTTTTTAACATCTTTCATTCCCCTCACCCCTTTCCCCAGCACAGGGTAGCCAGCCGGTCTAAGAACTGGCTAACCTCCCTGTCTTTCCGCTTAAACTTTCTTCCTCCTCTTCCTCCCATAGCGACAACACTCTCATTGTTTTCCTCTTATAGTTGGCAACGGGATACGAGAAGGACGAAGGCATCAGCCAGCTGCTGTCAAAGTACGAGTGGCGTATCCATCCGATTGTGAACCCTGATGGCTACGATTACACACATACCGCGGTAAGCGATCTTTGCATGTAGCGCGCATTTGTCAGATGCCGGTGACAATAGACGTCTTTCGCCTCAATTCGCCACAGCAGAAGTACTTTTTTGGTCGATTCTGACGCTAAACATATAAACAATCGAAGTCCATTGGCCAATGGCAGGCAACTTCTACAAAACGAAAAAGTTTTTCCACCACTCCTGGTCAGCGCTACTTTGGCGTAGCAAAACGTCAACGTGGTGACACGTTTTCGTACCTTAACGGTGCAGTATAGAGTAGCATCCGATTTGTGTAACATGCGGGCGAATCACGTCAAGTTAGCACTATAACGTCACGCGATACGTCATACCATCGCCGTACTATTTCAAAGAGGAAAAGTTCTGCCTGGCTCTGCGTATATGGAATCGATGCCTGGCCAATTTCAGTCCGTGACCCCGTGTCACTGGGTATTCAGTATATTCCGCCTAGTGGCTTCGCGGTTCTCACTATTTTTTCTCGACATCACTACAAGCAGAAGCGGCATCGACAGCGACGTGCCGCTAGTCCTTACCGACGCTACTGCACATGTCACGTGACTTCCGTTCATGACGACGACAGGCTCTTCCGATACGTCATCAAGAAGCGTGCAGCAACATTATTGACAATTCATTATACTGAACGTTTCTAGCAAATCACAGCGTTATATAGGTAGATGGTGGATATAGGGTAAGATCGACGCATACAACGTGTCTCACTGACAAACCAAAGCAAATCGTGGAATAATGGGTTCAGTAAACGGAAAATGTGCTGGTATAGTGCAATGTTTTTTGTTTTTGTTTTTTTCGCAGGAGCGGCTCTGGAGAAAGACTCGCTCCCGAAGTCGTTTCTCCGACAGATGCCGAGGAGCGGATGCCAACCGAAACTTTGACGTCGGACGTTTTTGCAGTCAGTGTTGCGGCTTCTTCTTTTTAAACTACACTTATACGGCGATAGACCCTTTCACTGTTTACAACCCTTGATGACTTCCGGTTTTGTCCACCGATGTGCCTGAATAGCATAGGTGGGCAAGTAGAGCGTTAGAAGATAGCCCGCTGATTTTCTACATTTTCTTTCCATCGCTAGGCACAATATATTGAAATAAATGTTTTATTCAGCTACATAAAAACTACAAAGGATTGCCTTGAACATTACGCACGTTATTTTTTATCTGAAAAACTGATGACATACTTTCCTCACCCCTGAAAAAACGTGAAAACGTCCTTTCAGTTTTGACGTTACGAGCTCGTAAATAAGGTGACCGGAAGTCTTTTTTTTTTTGCACAACGCTCGCAATGTTAAACCTGAATGCATGAAAAAAAAAAAAAAACGGCTGGCGAGTCTTTTCCTTCACTGGAACAAAAAATGCGCAGAGTTTTTGGAGAGGTGATACGATTGGACAAAGCGCGCATCGCACAATGCGGTGTGTCCCTGTTCAACTTTGCCCTTTTTTTGTGAAGCATAATTTTTATGTCAGTCTACGGCAGCCACCTTGTCTTATCCATGGTCCGCGTCCCTCTGACGTTTCCTTGCACCTCTAAAGGGCACCTAAGCAACTTCTGCAAATTACGGTGATTTGTCGGGGTTTAACGTTCCAAAACCACCATATGATTATGAGAGACGCCGTGGCGAAGGGCTCCGGAAATTTCGACCACCTGGGGGTTCTTCAACTTGCACCAAAAATCTGAGCACACGGGCCTACAGCGCTTTCGAATCCATCGAAAATCCATACACCGCAGCCGGGATTCGATTCCAAGACCTGCGGGTCAGCAGCGGAGTACCTTAGCCACTATAGACCACCACGGCAGGGGCCAACTTCTGAAAATGCAGAGAACGAGCACGTTATTCTTTTTTTTTGGGGGGGGGGGCGTTTTCCGCCGCTTTGGCACAAGACGTGACGCAAGCAGTCTATTCACGTTACGTCACAAGGACACTAGCTCTGATTGGCTCATGCACGAGGGATGTCAGTTGCGAGACATCTCCCGCCTTGCTTTGTCAAGTTGTCCCACGCCCGTTCCGCCTATAGTCTCACGTGACATACTCGGAGCGACTAACCGATTTCAATTCGTTTAGTGCGCCTGTGACTGCGCACGCCGAGCTCACGGCGTGCAGCCGAGAAGCACGAAGTCATGATTGGCTCATCACCAAGTGGCGAGGATAAGATGGCGCCTGTAGGAAGAGTGGTGAAGGAGAGGAAGAAGCTACTGTCTTACCGTTCAACTCGGCGTGGTGTAAGAAACATTTAAAGAAGCTTAACCAAAAAAAATAATTTTTTTACTTTCCATGCATTAGAAAGTTAATCTTTGACATTAGCGAAATCACCGCGCTTGCCGCGAGAGGACGCTTGGTGAGAAAGAAAACGCGCGGAAAGAAAGTACGGGCGGCGACGGACCTTGGACCAAGTGACGTCATAGAGTTTGATGGCGCGTACTGCGGTCGATGCACTTTCTAATCAACAAATACGAAATACATTATCTACGAAATACATTATCCTTTGAGGAGGCTGTAGACTAATCTAACCAAGTTTAGGAAGAAAATTTCATAGCGCCAGAGCCCTATCGGAAAAAAACGAATGGTGGGCATGGTGTAAACCACCACCCACCATTATAGTGGATTAGTGTAGTGGGTGAATGGTGGGAAACGCCCACCATGGCGCATGGTGGGTATGGTGGGTGCTGCAGTGCCGGAAACACTTGAGCGCGAAATGACGTCAGAATCACCGTGACGAGCTGCCACAAAAAATAAAAAAGAATTCTATAAAAACAGTATAAAAAACACCCGTCCCGTAAAAAAAAACAAGGCGCCACGAAGGATCGAACCTGCAACCTGCGGATTTCCATTCGACAACGCTAACCACTGCGCCACACCAACATGATGTCCATTGAGTGTTAAATACTTAGTTGACATACAAACTTGCAGTTCAACTTGAGTTATGTTTGTCGTGTACACAAAATAGACAAGATCTAGACCTGCTACTAAAAATTGCACATTTATTAAACACAAGCAACTGCGGCCTGTAACGATTGCCACTTTGTTAATGGCACTAGTGCTATTTTTGTTTACAAATCACAACTTCAAGAAAAAAAACCAAGTGGACGGGGGAGCAGCAACAGTTTACCGGCGGGGTCTGCCAAGTTTAATATCCGTTTCGCGCTCATTCTAAAGGGTGACATCTGCTCATGCTTCATGACGCTTCTAGGCTCATACCATAGATACGCCCGCCTAATTAATTTGATTGAGTATTGGGATGCTTTTCGCGCAATGTAGAGGGCGGTCGCGCCAGCGCAATGCTGTAGCTCTTTCGCTAAAGCAACAACTACATAACGGCTTGGCCAAAACGAATGCAGTGTACCGGAAACATTACGCTATCATATTGGTTCACCAAGCATACGAATTACCACGTCTGAGTTCTCGTACAAAAGCTAGAGAAGTGCCGGCGAATGTGACCAGCGGCTGTCGGTGAGAAGACACTTAAATACGTTCTCTGGGAGTGCTTTAATCGCGTCGCATCGATGTTTGTTGCTTCTTGAGCGGACCCCATACACAATGAAAAATGCTTCATTTAGGTTAATTGATGTCATGGCTGTGCTGTATTGTCATACTTAATCGTCGAAATCGTGTATTCTGAAACCCGGAAGCACGGATAACACAATTGTACGGGCTCGGTCGGTAGGCCTAACCTTTGGTGGAAATCATGGTGGTAGAACATGTAGTGTACAGATCCCAGCTTGGTACTATATATAAATTGCCCGCCATTATAAGCCCACCCATCTTCTGCTTATTGCTTCCCAGCAATATCGCGATGGTGGGCAGAGCTTCTCAGCTTGGTACACCATGTGGCCCACCATAACAAGCAGCACCCATCATCTGCTTAGTGCTTCCCAGCATTATCGCAATGGTGGGAAAAGTTTCTCAGCTTGGTACACCATGTAGCCCACCATAATAAGCACCACCCACCACATGCTTAAGGCTTCCCAGCATTATCGCAATGGTGGGCAGAGTGTCCCATTATTGCCCACTATATAGTCTCTGCTTTCCACCATCATTTCCACTTTACCCATCTTCTGTACACCATACCACCCAGTATGTCCCGGCATAACCACCATATTTTCCACTACGTCCCACCATAGCCATCATAATTTCCACCATTCCCACTATTATTTCCACCATGCCCACTATTATTTCCACTACGCCCACCATGTTTTCCAGTATCCATCATGGCAATTTTTCCGATAGGGAGGGGTCGAAACACTCGTGATTTTTTTTAATCTGTGACGTCACATACCTGCACCAACTTCTGCGCGGAACTGTTATGCCAGCGAGTCCTCGTCAAACGTCCGTGCCTCGGAAAAAGGCAATCTGGGTCAAGGCCAGCCCGCAGTCTGCCTGGCGCGATCACCTCGACGGCGTGAACACGCGCGGCGCCCCTCTGGCCCAGGTGCAGTGAGTCAGCGGCGCACGTGACAGCGAGCCGGCGGCCGCGTGCCTGGTGGTCTGACGCATGGCGCGGCGGCCCCCATTGGCGGAATCTGCCCGGACGACCAGCGGCGCTTCTGATTGGACACTTTGGTTGGACCCGGTGTAAATAAAAGAAGCCCTGCGGCGTGTCGCGATCGGCGGTCCTATGTGAGAGGCGTCCCCGTGTCGGAGTGCCGACATGTGTGTGAGTCAGCGGTCTTAGGCGAAAGACTGACCTATGTGTTAGAGAGGAGAGTTAGGCTCTTCGAGTCTCTGTCGGCCCCAGTGCCGAAATTGTAACGCCTCTGTAAATATGCTGTACATAAACCTTGTTTAACTCACCGTCGTCTCGTCCGCTCGTCTTATCAGCTCTGCGCAGAAGCAGTCGCGAGTTGATAAACATACGCTACCAAACGGCTGGTGACCTTCCCGGCGGAGTTGAAAGCAGTGGCGCCTCCGGGGCCGTGTTGGCGTCGCCGTCTTTCGCAACAGTGGTGGCTTCGGCGGGATCGGTCCGTCGTTCTCAACAGTGGAGGTCAGCGGCGGGACTTCGGAGGTGGCTACGCAACAGTGGTTGGCAGCTGCGGGATCGGCCGGCGTCAGCGACATCGATGCGGTGAGTGCCTGATGTTTTCCCCTCAGTTCACCAGACTACTCTAGCTCAGGTTGTAGTAGTTTAGAGAAAGGGCTGTGTGAAGCATTGAAGTGAGCTTTGATCGTTTCAAGCCAAGTTGAAGTGCTTTGAAACCAAAGTTAATGCGGAGGTGGTAAACACGGGAGGGTGAAAAATTGCTTGCGCGTCTTGCTAGTTGACTTATAGTGGGTACGGCAAGTAAATTGTTAACAGGGGCAAACAGCAAGAGGCTAGTGTGAACGATGGAGAACCTTAAGGTGAAGGAACTCATCGAAATTTGTGAGGAACTCGGCATTACTTTGGGCCGTGCGAAACGAAAGCAAGCGATCCTTGAGATCATGAAGGATGAGGGAGTGTCGGCTGAGGAAGTCGATGAGGCCTGGGTGGATATTAAAGCACGCCGTGAGGAGGCTGAAAGGCGAGAAGTAGAAGCTCGCGAAGAGGCTGAAAGGCGCGAAGCTCGCGAACGTGAGGAAGCTGAAAGGCGTGAACGTCGCGAGCGCGAGGAAGCTGAAAGGCGTGAACGTCGCGAGCGCGAGGACGCCGAGAGACAAGAGCGCCTAGAGATGAAACGACTAGAATTGGCAATCCTACAGTGTTCGCAGGCGCCTAGCGTAGCTTCTCCGACGATTCAGGTCAGCGGTTTTAGAATTCGTGACCAACTGCCACCGTTCGTAGTAGGCGAGGACATGGCGAAGTATCTCGTCAAGTTTGAACACGTCTGTGAGCGAAACGCTTTGGAGCGGTCTCTTTGGGCGCGGAACCTGCTAGCTCTTCTTCCCGGCGAAGTGTCCGACGCGATAACTTGCTTGTCGAGGGAAGCGTTTGAGAGCTATGACGAGGTTAAGGAAGTGCTCTTGAGACGTTATAAGTTGTCACCCGAGGCTTTCAGACAAAGGTTCCGGTATGCTGAAAAGGGGAATGAGTCACACGTTGACTTCGCGTTTCGTCTTAAAGCCGATTTAATTGAATGGCTCAAGGGCGAAGGTGTTTATGACGACCGCGATAAAGTGGTGGAATGCGTTGCATTGGAGCAATTCTACCGCTGCATCGAGGAGGATGTCAAACTTTGGCTGCAGGACAGACTTGGGGACGTACAGTTAAACAAGGCAGCTGAGTTAGCTGAGGAGTATTATACTCGCCGAAAGTTGCATAGCAGGGCAGCGCGCGTTGAAAAGGATGAAAGGAAAGAGGGCTTTTCAAGGAAACCTGATCAACGGAAACCCGCTCCGCACCGTAATTTCAAGAAGGACCCGTCTCTTACGAAGGACAGTGTAGGGGAAGGGCAAACAGAAGCGGAGAAATCGAGTGAGGTTTCTACCACACAGGCATTAGAACCGGAAAACAAACGGAAGCCGCTAATCTGCTACAACTGTAAAAAGGAAGGGCACATCGCGAGAAACTGTCAGGAAAAGTTTGCCTTCGCAACGATCCGAGAATCAGAAAAAAACATGCGGTTGTTGGAGCCGTATCTCCAAGAAATTAGGGTCAATGAGAAAACGTGCCGAGCACTTAGAGACTCAGCGGCAACCATGGACGTTGTCCATCCTTCATTGGTGTCTCCGGATGACTTCACAGGAGAATGCGCGTGGATCAGGCAAGTCGCCGAGGAGCAGAGTGTTCGCTTACCAATCGCCACCGTTGTCATAGAAGGCCCGTTCGGTAAGCTTTGCACCGAAGCGGCTGTGTCTGCCGCGCTGAATGGTCGTTTTTCTTATCTTTTCTCCAACAACTCGGAGCAGCTTCTCAAAGAGCAGGGCAAATCGTTCTTCCCCAACTTAGCGTGCATGGCTCCCACGCGATCGCAAGCGCGAAAGCTTTCGCGGAAGCTTGACTTGGTTCCATGCGGTGAACTCTCAAGTGACCTTGTCGGCGGGTCGACGGAACCCCAGAAAGGAAATTTTCCGCATGAGTCATGTGAGCAGTCACGCGAGCGGCCCGTCGCGGGAGCGGCCGGCGCGGTATGCGCTGGGGGAGACGACGTGGCGCCATTGAGTCAGAGCGAGAGGGTTGCAACGCTCTCGCCTGTAGCGGAAAGTTGGAGCGAGCTGCCGAGAGTTGATCGAGAGACGCTCATTCGAGGGCAGCGTGAGGATCTCTCGATTGAAGCGCTAGTGGAAAGCCAAATTGAAGCGCGAGTGGAAAGCCAGAAAAACGCGGCAAAAGTGCTGTCGAAGGAGCACTACGAGAAATCGGGGAAGAAGCGCGCTTTTGAAGTTGATAATCAGGTAATGCGGCTGCAGCCACCCAAAAGGAACAAGCTTGAGGTTGATTGGGAAGGGCCCGCCACAGTATTATCGAAGCCTTGCGATACAAATTATGAAGAGAAATTAGGAAGGCGGCCGGACAAAATTTACAACTTGAAAGCAGTCGTAAATCAGCTGTTGAATGCTTCAGAGGAAGAGGGAGCAGAAGTTTTGAGTACTAGTGAGGTAATTGAAGGGGGATCGAAAGTAATCCGGGAGCAGATAAACCTAGAGCCTAGCTTAAGTGAAGGAGGACCTGAGAAAGCGGACCTGAGAAAGATTGGTTCCGAGTTTGAAGACGTGTTTTCGGACCGCCCCGGAAACACGACGGGGATCGAACACGATATCGAGCTAAGCGGTGAGGAGTCAATCAGTAGCAAGCCGTATCGTTGTTCCCCTGTGCAACGTCGAAAGTGTGAGCCGCTCTTGGTGCCGCATAGGTATCGTCGCCTAAAAGTGGCCGGTTACTGAAGTGGAGCATGTTGCTCCACAGCGCAACTTTGACGTTCGCTATAAAAAAAATAATAAAGGAAGGGTAAACGCTAATGCAGGTGCATTGAGCAGTGCGTTTCAGCTAGTAACTTCTCAACCTTTCGGTTTCTGGCTGGCGATTCGGGGCAAAATTTTGACCTCATCACGACCTGGGCTGAGCGCTCTCGTTCAGAGTGATCTCAAGGGGCCAACTTTGTGGTATTCTTATTCGTTACGTTGTTGTACGTGGAAAAAAAAAATATTGAGTTGTCATTTTAAGAGTCTTGTGTCCCACATGTGCCTCTTGATGTAGAGGGAACAAAATTCCGATAGACACGTAGATAGGTATATGTTGTACTATACTTTGTCTGGTGTTCTGTCGGGTGACCGAGGGCACTTGCTTGTGTCGTGTGTTGTCTGTTGTCGAACCGTTCTTAGCAAGTTGCAGAACCATCGACAAGTGCTGAAACCGAAGATGGTCAGAAGAGACGAGTGAAGCTGGTCGACAAGGTGTGGCGACGAGCCAGTGGAGCTGGGATCCGTCGTCAAAAATGGGATGTGTTCCCGGAACAGTCTGGAGCTGTATTTTCCCCATGGCCCTGGAGGCGAACCTGGAGGGACCTGGCGAACGAGCGCACCTGACATCCGAGCCCCGTGGAAGCAGCTCGTCTTTCCGGTGCATTGTCTGGCGGCGGGGGTGCTGTTATGCCAGCGAGTCCTCGTCAAACGTCCGTGCCTCGGAAAAAGGCAATCTGGGTCAAGGCCAGCCCGCAGTCTGCCTGGCGCGATCACCTCGACGGCGTGAACACGCGCGGCGCCCCTCTGGCCCAGGTGCAGTGAGTCAGCGGCGCACGTGACAGCGAGCCGGCGGCCGCGTGCCTGGTGGTCTGACGCATGGCGCGGCGGCCCCCATTGGCGGAATCTGCCCGGACGACCAGCGGCGCTTCTGATTGGACACTTTGGTTGGACCCGGTGTAAATAAAAGAAGCCCTGCGGCGTGTCGCGATCGGCGGTCCTATGTGAGAGGCGTCCCCGTGTCGGAGTGCCGACATGTGTGTGAGTCAGCGGTCTTAGGCGAAAGACTGACCTATGTGTTAGAGAGGAGAGTTAGGCTCTTCGAGTCTCTGTCGGCCCCAGTGCCGAAATTGTAACGCCTCTGTAAATATGCTGTACATAAACCTTGTTTAACTCACCGTCGTCTCGTCCGCTCGTCTTATCAGCTCTGCGCAGAAGCAGTCGCGAGTTGATAAACATACGCTACCAAACGGCTGGTGACCTTCCCGGCGGAGTTGAAAGCAGTGGCGCCTCCGGGGCCGTGTTGGCGTCGCCGTCTTTCGCAACAGTGGTGGCTTCGGCGGGATCGGTCCGTCGTTCTCAACAGTGGAGGTCAGCGGCGGGACTTCGGAGGTGGCTACGCAACAGAACGTAATTAAAGTAGGACATTAATTTTCTCTTACGTTATGAGCCTATTAGTGGTGTAATTACCCACAATGAAGTTTTCGCAGAAATATTTATATCAGTATAAACTCGTTAGTTCTATCGCTATAGTGCGCCCTACGTAAATTGTACATCGGAATTTCAGAAGTCTGGCTAATTACAGCCATTTGCCACGCAACAAATTCGCAATATCGGCACACGGCTAACATTACAAATAACCAGGGAGTAACATATGAGGCTTAGCGTCTCACTCGGCTGCTTTCGATAGTGCATCACCTGCTTCACCTGCAGGGACCAGAGGAAGCAGCAGTCCGTGCCAGGATACCTACTGCGGCGACTTCGCCTTCTCGGAGCCAGAGTCGCGGGCCATTCGCGACGCCCTGTGGGCGATCCAGGGACGCACCGAGTACTACTTTTCCGTGCACAACTTCGGTCAGCTCTGGATGTTTCCGTACGGCTACACCGACGTTCCCGCACCTGACTACGACCTACTGGTGAGTAGTGGCCTCAGCCAGGTGTAGGCGAAGCGCCGCTATCGGCATACCTTTGGTTAGACAACCTTCTGTATGCGTTACAATCGTAAGCGAGCGCAGGGATCCTGCAGGTCCATCGCACCACCTGTACACCTTTCGATCAAGTCAGTGTATGGGGCAGGTTTCGCGCTCTCCCCTTTAACGACCTGGGAAGAGGCCGACCCACTATACCCCCCCCCCCCCCGAGCACACGTCTATGGGTAAAATAAATCCGATAGCCATCAAACGATCTTGCTGAAGTGAAGCTTGTTATGAGTCACAGATTGTAAGATCCCGTAGGTTGTGAAATGGAGCATGGTAGCGGAAAAACAAGGAGGTTAGCAGTCGCAAACCTTCTATTGGCTACCCTGAATTGGAAAAGTTGACAGATTTGCCCCGCCGCGGTGGTCTAGTGGGTAAGGTGCTCGGCTGCTAACCCGCAGGTCACGGGTTCAAATCCCGGCTGCGGCGGCTGCATTTCCGATGGAGGCGGAAAATGTTGTCGCCCCGTGTGCTCAGATTTGACTGCACGTTAAAGAACCCCAGTGGTCAAAATTTCCGGAGCCCTCCACTACGGCGTCTCTCATAATCATATGGTGGTTTTGGACGTTAAACCCCACATATTAATCAATCAAAGTTGACAGATTGACAGGGAAGTTGACAAGGAAATGATGACAGATTGAGAGTGGTCAACTGCATTATATAGTCATTGTAGTAGTAATGTCTGAAAAAAAAACACATAAGTGCAGGCACTGCACTGCCGCTACGTATGTTTAGAAAGAGTAGGGAACGATTTACAGTACTTGGTTCGTGCTCTACTATGGGAGAGCATAGAGCCATCCCATGTTTCTCTATGGCCATCCCGTGAGCGTCACCCTTGTTGGCCCGTGTGGCAGAAAAAGAGGTGCCTACATCGAACGATTTCAAGTAACTGGCGTCGCACGCGAGAAGCTCTGAGCGCACACAGATGCGGCCTTCAAAGGTGTGCCGGTGGCGGCCGTATTTAAAAAGCACAGTTTTCCAATAACTGATTGTCCTCTCGAATGTGCGTTTGTCGGCGATCAGCTGTTGCTAATACGGCAGTCTGGTCTTTTACCGAGGCCGCTCTTCGCCTCATGGCGGTGCAATCTATTATTTTCTGGATTTATACGAACGCACGGATAATGTTGTTGCGTGCAGCAACTGAACTGGAACGCTGACGAGCCCTAGAATGGAAGTCTTGTTTCCAGTGTCGAGGAAGGATAAAACTTCGGAGACATCGTTGCGCATCAGTACGATGAGAAGTAAGGGGAAAAAAATAGAGTGAGATAAGGCAGTATATGTAAAGTAAATAAATAAACAAATAAAAACGAAATTAGTTGTTCACGTACACGCACGCCAAGCTTCCTTTGCCCGGTAAGGGAGGAACTCTCGACATTTTCTTTTATCGCTGATGATGATACTTATTCTGATTGCGTTCCTGATAATGACGAAATTACTTTTTTTGGTCCTCGCTTTCTTCTCGTTCTTCTTCAGATGAACATTTCCCTGAGGGCCAAAGAAGCCATCAAGAAAGTGCAGGGCACAGCCTACACGGTTGGACCGATCTCGAAGACAATATGTGAGTAAACAAATCCACTACTGCCATCGCACTACTGCCGTAGTGACATTATACACTGAACTTGGCATTTATAATTAACTCCTGCCGGTACCGAGCAAAAACAGCATGAAATCAGTTCAGTCAGTCAGTCAGTCAGTCAGTCAGTCAGTCAGTCAGTCAGTCAGTCAGTCAGTCAGTCAGTCAGTCAGTCAGTCAGTCAGTCAGTCACAGTCAGTCACTCACAGTCAGTTACTCACAGTCAGCCAGTCACAGTCAGCCAGCCAGTCGCAGTCAGCCAGTCGCAGTCAGCCAGTCAACGTCAGTCAGCCACAGTCAGCCAGTCACAGTCAGCCAGTCACAGTCAGCCAGTCACAGTCAGCCAGTCAGCCACAGTCAGTCAGTCAGACAGATTGACAGACAGACAGACAGACAGACAGACAGACAGACAGACAGACAGACAGACAGATTTCAGAACTTATTGTCATTAGTTTTGCAATTATAAGTAACTGATAAAAAAGGAAAAAATGAAAATGCAAGTCTTGTTTTATAATTTCGCGACGACACTTCAGCGCGCAAGCGTCCCCGCGACATCATGTACATTATTGTTTTGCGTATTTTACTACATTGTTTCTATGAAATCGTCCGAAACTTGACATGTTAAGACGCTGCGTTCCAGGGAACAAAATGTATACAATTCTGACCGATAAACTATTATGCAGCCAATAAAAGACACATGAAAACCTGTAACAATATTGTGATCAGGTGCAGAAAGTTCAAAGTGGCATCACTATATAATCATTTCTTTTTGCGTGTTTTGCCACTTACCAAGCATTTTCTCGCTGTAAGGAAATAACTTTCGGTATTGTGAAATTCTTATTCACTCATGAGAAGAATGGTTCTTCTCTAAAGTGTCTTTTTAAAAGACAGATATGTTAGCTATTGATGCAAGTGAACTCGAAACTGTAGCCTTGATTGCGACTCTGCTTTTCAGACCAAGTGTCGGGTAGCAGCGTGGACTGGGCATACGAGGCGATGAAGGTGACCAAGTCGTTCGCCCTGGAATTACAACCGTCGTGGTACAGGTTCCAGGGAAGTCTGGGTTTTCTGCTTCCAGCGGAGGAAATCTACCCCGTCGTCCAGGAGACGTGGGCGGGAATCAGGGAGGCCGTCGCCTAGGTCATGGTCCTGGCACACGGCTCTCAATTAACACTCTGTATAGCTCCGTATCAAGAGTCACCCTCTTCAGCAGCACAGAACCGCAGAACACTCCCCAGAAACTCTGCCCAGACCCCCGCTTTGTAAAATACGCAAGAGAGACGAGGCATCTGCATAAGCCACATACTATGGAAGCACCACAATCAGCAAATGTACTCCTCAGAACCACGCCGGGAGCGATTACGGAAAACTTCAGCTTGAACCTAAAGGATCAAACCTGGACCATCCAGCCGGTCAGTGAGACTACAAGAAAACGAAGCCTCCCGTTTTTCATCTGGGCGGTCTGGCCCGGACCAGCAACTAGCCACATATCGAAATACAGTTGTTTCACTAAATCCCTCACCTCTCCTAAAATTCCTTCTGTGTGCCTCCCCAGAACCAAACCTCAAATGCGCATGCGTGCGCGGCCACACTGAGCTGCCGTTCACCGGCCATCAGTAGGAGTGGAGTCAATTACAGTAAATGTTGGAAGCCGGCCTTGATTGTACTTTTTTTTTTCAGCGTTGCGGTTCCAAAGAACTGCCTGCTCACACAGCTTGCAGAAACAATTGCGTTGGTCTTGGCTTCTTCGCAGTTGCGTATACGCATTAAACGCTGAACACTGCAAAAGTGCTCAATGAATGCGTCACAGCCTGTGTTGTCGTAGTGTAAAACCACATGCATAGCGATTAGCTTTAACGTCCTTATGAATTATGGGAAGACCTTCACATCTCGATATAGCACCGGCCGGCTCTCTGGTCCGATGTGACAAGGAGTAGAGTTACTGTATATGCTACCTTTAGGTAGTAACCTAAAGGTATCATATACAACAACTCTAAGAAGGAGACACTCAGAAAAGGATGAAGCCCTGGCGAGAAAAATGCGCAAAATAACTAAGAAATTGAGTTGGTCTTATAGCTGCAGACCACCAGGAGGACGAGGAGGTAGAGGGAGAAAAGCAGGAAGGTCAACCAGGCGAGCGTCCGGTTTGCTATCCTACACCGGGGGAAGGGAACAGAGGAATGAAAAACAAAGGAAATGCACATCCACAGCTCTATGTGCAACTGCATGTTAAGATCACGTCGTAGAATCAGCGCAGCTTCTTGCGGTCGACTATGTGCCGTCGAAGCGAAATAAACATGTTTGGCAGAGTGTGTCTAGCGGTATTCCTGCACTCCAGTCGATGCTCTAGTCCTCTACTATGGCGTATACTTGTCAATTACTACATCTTTAGGGAAATCTGGTTTTCATTATTGCCATTCCTGCGAGTTCTCTAGTGTCGACACATACCATAAGCCATATAGGTTGGCAGTCCCAGCTGGAAAGTTGCGAAACAAGTTCAACACCGGCCCCATTAAAGAAATGACGACGTAATCAATACCATACAAGAACGGAAAATTTGGCGAGTCGGAATATTCGCAAGCTTGATGCAGCGCTGAATGACGTAGACCCAGAAAGCAAAGGAAAAGCGCTTATGATATGACGACAATGATATTCTCTTCCTGCTGGCGCTCTCCCCCCCCTCAAAAAAAAGAGGGGGGGGGGATGGGCCAAGAACCTGATATTGAGATGTTTTATGCCAGAACCTGAGAATCTAAACTATAACCGAAACATGGAATAAATGAAGACGCCCAGCAAGCAAGTGGTAAGACTATCATCTGGGCTTTCTGATAGAGATAATGGAGGATTTTGAACTGGAATATGAAGTGATAAAAATAGTATATTATGTAAGCTTTTTTGTTTCATTTAAATAATCGAATATAACCGAGCAGACACCTCTGTGGCTATAACGTAATGAAGTACCGTGGAATGATAAATTTACACATTTATTTCCAGTCCACACACTTGAAATTCTACAAAGTATCTTTTTCTTTGACTGGAGTATTATTACGCGAATGAGGAGTCACTTGCACACTGTACACTATTTACAAGACATATTCACAACAGTGGTCGCACAACCGCGGTTCAGCTTAGAGAGCAAGCTTGTTTGCTTTGTTTGTTTGTTTGTTTGTTTGTTTGTTTGTTTGTTTCTTTGTTTGCTGCCCGTGAACACTGGCACATACCCACTCTCGAGGATTGGCCAAGAAAACCTGTCGTAGTCTATATGTGCATGCTATTCAGTGATTGTCCCCTCTAAAGAAAATGAACAAAGAGAAAAATTGCAAATTATATTTTAACAATAAGTAAAAGAATAATCAAATAAGAATGAATAAATAAACAAAAAAATGAGATGTAATGCCATATCGAAAGACTGAATTTTTGAGCTGACGAGGCAGCAATCTCTGTTTGTTTTGTTTGTAGCCTAGAATCCGTGGCTCATACCCACTCCGGAGTCTCACACGGACGATAACTGCACTATTGTTTACTCTTCGTTCTCTTCGTCGGGTGAAACCGCACATGGTCAGGAGCCTGGCAATATGCATGGAGCAGCATTGTTGACAGAATAAAAAGAAATGCCATGTTGTTTCGATTTCATTGCGACGCATGCAACGTGCTCCCCAGACGCGCAGCAAACTCAGAACTGTGGAGAAGATCTCGTACGCTATCCTGATCTTAGGAGCAGCACAGAATACCACCGCGGCCGAACAAACTGACCCCGGTGATCTGGAAGGGTGAAGAGGCTTGAATCAAGCTGCGCCAGAGGCAGTTCAAATCCTGTATCTGTAGCCGTGGCTGTAGATTATACTAGAAAGTTGAAGGACTTCGTGTCACGGCAACAAGCTGTCTTTTAGCTCAAGCAATCGATCTTGGAACGAAGAGGACAAAGCGGGAACTTGCCACGTGCCTGTCGCGTTCACTGGCATCCCGATTCGTATATGCCTGGCGTCCGTCACGACCGACCTGCTGCACCGAGGCCTGTGAGCTTGTTTTTACTGTTATCCATTCACGCAGATTAGGCTCTAGTTCAGTCTTTAGGCTGCAGCTTAGTCATCAATTGTATGTTCTTTTTGTGATACGAAAGCCCCGCAGATTCATGACGCTTGTTTCGCTGTACTTTGACGCATTATCTTTGGACACGGTGGCTTTGGAGGAGCACGTGACGACGAAATTCGGAGGCGACAGTAATCATTGACTGTTATTTACTGGTTTAGTGAAACTCGCGCGTGGCGCTCATGTTGCCTGTTCACCGTGGCCTTGTTCGATTGATTGGGCTAAAATTATGTTTAATCGTGCTATTGGAGTGGATCACGGAGGCCACGCAGAAGGAAGTGCGTAGTTGAGAACTCCTTCACCAGGTGCCGCAACGGTCCTCACTAGAATATCGCCTGCTCTTTCAGTTAACTCTATTCGTTTTTTCATCATTGTTCATTAGGCGGTATCTTAAGTAAACTTCTGGTCTGGTATTCTCTCGTCAGTAGGTTGCGACGACTACGAAAGGAAAACGCCTCCGTCAAACTCGGGGCCCAATAGAATAGACATTCAAAGTGCAGCGAAAGCGGCAAGCACAGACGTCGGCAGTCTGCTCGACTTAATGCATCGGCTTTTAGGGCACGTTGACTCCGCACACGCAAACGGGCAAGGGGATTTTTCAAGATGGAAAGGCAGCGAGGGCACGCGGCTGTTCAGACCAATCCACAGAAGACCTATATATACTACGACATACCGCGTTGCTTTCTGCCCGCTCCACCGCGGGGGCGGAGCAATCCACCGATGACGGTGGACGTGTCGCTATATTGCGCCACTACGCGATACTGCGCTTATGCGTCTCGGGCCCCGATTGATTTCGACCAAAGCAGCCCACTTCTCTGCAATCTGTCCGGGCGCGATCCGGGCAAGCGGCAGCAGATTTTCCGCTTTGCGGATGATCCGCGTCCGCTTTCCGGCATTCCGCTCGATGTGAACGTGCCTTTATGCATGCGTCACAGTTCATTTAAGGGTGATCGCTGACGTTCGCGTACAGTCATAGAGATACTCAAAGATGCGCGTCATCCATGCAACGTTTGTAGATCAGTCGGCGTCTGCACTTAGTTATGATAGTTAAGCGAAGCCTATACCAAGCAGTAAAGTGTGTACCGAGAGAGTGAGAATGGTGATCGTCGTTAAATAAAACAAAGCGTACTTAAATAAAAGAATGCAAATAAACCACTAGCGTGTTCTTCAACGCTATCGTGTTATAACCAGGTAAAGTGCAGAAAGCTCACAATGCTTCCGATCTTGCAGGCAGCGCTAAACTATACGTTCGGTGCAGAAAGCTTTCGGCAAGGGATTCGCACCAAGATTTAAAGACTTCCAAACACGCCCTGAAACGTGGCGGCTTGCAGCATGATAGGCCAGGGCCACAACTTTTAAAGGCGACGCAAAAAAAAAATGGTCTGTCTGTCCATTTGTATGTTTGTCCGTTCTTAACGGTATTCTAAAAGGCACCGGACGATACCCTAAACGGGCGACCCCATCCGCAACACCCACCAATATTGCTCAAGATTCAGCGTTCATACTTGTGCTATTGTCAATTGAAAAGCAATTATTGCGCATATCTGAGGCACTATAGCAACTCCTCAACATTCTGTATATGTATATGCTACAAAAACAAGGCATACATAAGTAATTGTAAAGACCGTAGCATTTATCACGCTGCGATGACCATGCAACGCTTGCACGAAAAGGCAACTGTTTCTAACGCTTTGCTTCCAACACCTGATCACCTCCGAGACGGCCGCGCATGCTGTGAGCCTCGTTTTCCAAGATAACTGCCAGATGGCGCTCATGTCTCACGTGTGACGTGACTTGATGCGCTCGTTCGCCTCCGCTGCACGCTCGAGGCACTCAAAGCCTAGTTCACACTGAAACATCCGCTTTCTACAGCGACCGAAATTCCCCTGCCGCCGAAACGTAGCGTCGTTCGCACTGGACGCGCCCCGCGCCGCCGAATATGCCATCTACTACGGGGTGAACGAGGGATGGATGCGCTGTCACCCGGTTGTTGCCGCGGCTCGCAAACGCTACTACGCTATCCGGTGGTGTATACTTCGACGATTCTCGTGCGCAAGAAAAGACAGTACTGCTTACTTAGCTGGCGAGTGGCTGTCTTGTAATGCACGAAGAGCAGAATAACCACCGATGCCAGCGGCGTTAGTGGGTTCGTTTTGCTGTGCAAGACCGCAACAAGCTCGGTCACGCCAACGGCAAGCTCGGTCACCTCTTTCACGAAATACGGAGGCGAAGAAGGCACAGAGTAGGTTAAACTCCCGTTGGTTTCAACATTCAGTTACGTGCACTGCGGCATAACAAGTTAGTAGGGCTTGGCCACCGTTTTTCGAAATTCCTTGACTAGCGCTCCTATTGGTCCGCGGTGACCGATTCGGCGGCAGACGCCGCAAAAATCGGTACGGGAACGATCGCCGCGGAGAGGCCCCTTTCGGCGAATCTCGCCGCCGCCGAACTGGATTCGGAGCACTTTCGGCGGCCAGAATGCTCAGTGTAACGCAGCGCTTCCGGAATACCATTCACCGATTTTCTCGCGCAGAACATCAAATAAACGTTTTGTTCACTCTCTCCAGACGCAAGACTACCGTCTTTCGACGACATTTGAAGTGTAACATGCAGATACGGGGCCATTTTTTTTTCAGATAGCTCTCGCATGACAGCTGCAATGCTAACTCAAGGAATTTACTTTTTTTTTTCATTCACAGCTACGTCGAAGTAAGCTACTGAAAAGCGTAGACACACTTGTTATAATGAGGTAAGTGTGCCTTCTTCAGGCCCATAGCATGAGCTCACTTTTTTTTTAAAGGTAAAGCACCAAACAAAATTGTAGTAATGGTAATGTGTGTATGGAAATGTAAGTGTGCGTGCGTGCGTTTGGGAGTGTGTTTAGTAATGTACGCTTTGCGCATTTGAACAAGAGCAACGGACAATGCGCGGGAAGTACTACATTACTTACTTAGTCAAGTTACTTACTGCAGTAATGTTTAGTGCCTGCTCTCTTTGATCATTTTTAATGAAGGATACCCAAAGCATGAATTGAACTGAATCATTGAACCTATATATAATCATTAAACCTAAGTATAGTTGGACGAGCCTTGAATATTCACATGTTGGAGTTGGAGACGAAGTTCTGTTATTTAACGGCAACGTAGCATAGATACGCTGGGATGTTCTTCCCCGCCAGATACACTGCTGTGTTGATCACTGACGTAGTCAACGTTGGCGCTTC